TAAAAAACGCTGCGGCAAACATATGTCTTTTTAAAAAAAGATCAGAATGTAAAGTTTCATAATAAGAATATTGTGAATACATAGAAATAATGTGTTATTAAATTCTTAAAAAAGCAGGAAATAGAGAAAACAGTACACAGGTAAATTGTTTGATCCTAAAAGTTTAATTTGAATCGAATGTACATTTCAATAATACAAGTCCCAAGTGAGTGACGTAAACTTTTGATGCAAAAACTATATTTTGTCTTTACCACAGCAAAAACTGTGTTAAAATGCGGAGACACGGTTGAAAACTAAATAAGTACATCAAAATCAAGATAAGTTCAAATAAATTGAAATAGCGCAAAAGCCGAAATTGGATATTTTTGGCCAAATGTAAACTCTTCTAATCATGCAACCCATCTTACAGAGAGAAAGGTAAACCCGAGATTGATAGAAATGAAGTCGGCTGATTCATCTCATAAAACCAAATTTAATTTACTTGTAGAGTTTAATACAACAAGAACTGAATCGGCTGTCTGTTGGGTTAAACTGAAATGACTAAGCTTTGTAAATGAGAAAAAGAAAAAAAAACTGTGGAAGAATTTTAATGTATTGAATTTGGGGTTCAATGTCAAATGATACTGGATTCAAAAAAGGAGAAAAGAGATTAACTTGGTTATGAAACTGAAACAATACTTTGAAATTTTTTTTTTTTTGCTGCAATTATGCAAGTACTTGATCTTGATTAACTCGGGTTTGGTGATTTCAAATCTGAAACTAGTTTTGCTTTTAAAGCTATAGATTATTTTAATGACATTTTTAGTCTATTCTTTATCCAAATGCACAAGTTTAAAAACAATACATATAACAGGGGGTAACGTGAATGTTGCAACAAACTTCTAGGTGAGTTAGGGCACATCATTCAGATTAAAATTACATAGGAAATCATGAACTGAAATGTAGTCGTAATCAGCTGTGGGGTGCTTCCTTATTATGTCTTGTTTAGAAGCACACGAAGAAACAGTTCATTATAGAGCCATACCTGCGAATGACAATATTTCCGGGCATGGGTTCCTATGAAATTTTAGTCCTGATGATGTGCCTTAGCTCCCCTTGAAGTTAGTCGCAACATTTGCTTGACCCCTGTTATATATAACATTTCTGAACGTGAATATTTCGACAAAAATAGAATAAAAATGTCATTGAAAAAAACTGAAAAACTGATTACAGATTTGAAATCAGCCACGTGAAAATATTTAAGATCCTTTAAAAAATCTCATGCAACAGAAAAAATAAATGTTTCCTAATGTAACTAAATCTTTACTGTTAAGAATATTTTAATTTATTTTCATTTAAAAATAATATAAGGTAAGCTTTTTACTTCAGAGTTTTCTTTTCAAAATTTGAATTGATTATATAACTAAATTTAACTGTATAACATTTAGAAATAATGCGTCCTAAAATGTTTTTTGTTCTCCTAAAAATGAGTAAAAAATGAAAGAAAAAAAGTCATTTATTACTTAAAGCAAAGATTTTAGAATGGTTTTTACCCTATTCATTATATTTTTCATTTTTCAATTTAATCGACTTTACTTACCTAAATAGTAAGATCAATTTTTGACCGATATACTAGTCGCGGCGAGAAAGTCATAACTGCGAATTTCTGAAATGTAAAAATGTCAATTAATATAATGATACGATAACTTAGCAGCATATTAAGCAAACCAGCGTCCTCCTGAAACTAAACAAGTAAAATTTCTATACAGAACTTTAAAATCTCTCTGCTTTACTTTTTCAATTGAATATTTTAAGAACAGAAGACAAAACTAAAAGAAATGTTCCCAAGTGTAATTGATTCAGAAGTTTCCAAGGTTCTTTAAGGTTTTTTTACAAACATTTAAAATTAAGATAATATTCCTAAAATAAATCCTTATAATATTAGACTGATATGCTCTAGTTTATTGCTCATAGTTTTTAGTTGAATGTTGAGTTAAATGGACCAAACTTTAAATCAAAAGTCTCTGTCTTGATATCACTGTAAAATACTAAGATTTAGCTGCAGGGTCTGTAATTAAACATTTGTATTTATTGATTAGATATTTGTATTGTGGTTAAATGTGTGCTGCCTGAATCATAAGTATATCAACGTAAAATAGTAATCACATGTCACTATCGCTTATATGATACCTATACCCTAAATTTCACTCTATTTCACTTAGAAAAAAGAGTGAAATGACTGAGTTATACACGAAATCTCTTCATTTTAATAATATTCCTGCACCTCAATTATAAAACTTTTATAAGTAGAATCTGAATTAAATAAAATACAGTCTACAGAACTAAAGGAAATATATAACTATACTTCGAATAAAATAGTTTAAATCACTCGGCACGTTCTCATTCACTTTACTCTCTTTTTATTGGCATGGTCGAAAGGAGTTCTTTTCAATTTATTTTCGAAATGTAGGGACAGAAGTTTCAATTAAAGAAGTCACGCTTTTGCAACCTATTTGGTCCTATAAATTGCTCAATTTCTGCTTTCAAAGTTCCACCATGCTCTTAATAAATAATTCACATTTTTATTAGTTCCATTTTACCATGACGCTTGTAATATTTCCTCGTTTAGAGCGTCTTTGAATTTTAAAGTTATTAAATTATTTGGAATTTTTGAAACAGAATTATATTTGGTGTAGATTTATATGTTTAAAGCAAATGTAATGAAAGGAAATGTACGAAATTGTTTATAAATAGAAAGTCTTTTGAAGAAAATTGAATTCGAAAAATTAAAATACTGAAATATAACTGTAATTTTCATTTCATTATAATTGAATTTTAAATGAACTCCCTCATAAAACATTGTCGCTAAAAAAGGTTAAATTTTAATTGAATTGGGGGTTTAGCGATACAAGTTCCATAAAAGGATTAAATTCTTTTGAATTAAGTGTTGGTTTGTGGGACAAGGTTAAAAAAATGCACAATGCACTGAACAATTGGTTTTTAAACAGATAAAAAGATTAAGTCATAAATTTATCTTAATAAAATGTATGAAATATAAAATTGATAAACTGGTTCAAAGCTAAACATCAAACAACACAACAAAACAATCGTATCTATACGGTTTAAATACCAAAAGTGCGTAGAAATGCAGCGGGAAAATAATATAATGGCGAGTTTTATCTAATAAATTCTTCATACGCAAAATAAAGCTGCCAAAAAGGTAAGAAGATGTTGGTTAGAATCCTAAGTAAAACGTAGCAAGCATAACATAGTTCAGTCGAGCATGTTTTGTTCCTAGACTGCACTGTTGGAAATTTCTATGAAAAAATGGTTAAATAACAATTTATTTAATTGTTATCTTACCATATTCAAACAAAACAGTCAAATAGCCATAAATAAGATGGTATTTAAACTGTTAACAGTGAGAAAACCCATTATTTACTGCTTTCATCTAATACTGTTAAATAATCAGAATTTTATCACACCTAGATTCACCTAATGAACTAACTTAGTTCCTGGCAGATATAAGTGCATATTATAGCCACGAGGGTTAGTCTGTCAATCTCATGACCGACAAAACGGGGGTTCAAGTACAAACGTTGACACCACAATATTTCCCCCACTCCCTTCAACATTCGAAGAGTTTCCAGTGTCCTGCACTCCCCAGTTTATGACCCTGAAGTGTTAAAATACGATACTTTAATTCACGCATAGATGGCAGCACCGTGAAACTGCTAAACCATCAATATGCAGTAAAAATACTATTTACGGTTTTGAAACCATGCTTATTGTAAATGGTTAAAAACCGTATAATTTTACATTCATGGTTTTTTAACAATATTAGTTGTAAATGGTTTCAAAACTGTAAAGGTAAAAAATGTTCTTTACCGTAAACGTTATGGTTAATTAGATGGGCAGACAGCTGCCGGTTATTTTACCATAATTTTAGAATGAAAATTCTGTAAGTGTGGGGATATTTACCTTTGCCCTGACCAAAATTTATCAATGGTCTTTTAAAACAAACTGCGCAAGGCAAATACACAAATTCTGTAAATGCTTAGGCAGAATATCAGATAGTAAATGAATTGAAACAAATGTAGATTTAAACTGAATAAGGTTCGCACGAAAACATGCTACGCCAAGCTAAAGGTTTTAAGACAAATCGAAATGTGATAAAATTTATCTCACAAAAATACATAAAATTGATAAAATAGTATTTGCCGTTACAAATTAATAAAATCAGATCAAATTGTCAAATACTATCAAAGAGTTAAATGCTAAAATTGAAAATACCAATAGCAAATACTAACACAAAAGCGTATAGTTGATGGGTTTTGTTTAAGAAATTACAAGAAAAAGTTTAAATGTAGGTAAAAAGTTATTGAACTTGGTTTCATGGCTAGCGAGGAAAATTTTACAATTTGGATATTTGAGATTGGTTAATTTAATTATAGCACAAGAGATAGTCGAGACTATAATATGACAAAGTTAAAGCATAATAAAATAAGTATAGTAAATCAAATGGATTTACCTGATTAATATCTGCATTCACTTCGAAAATATATAAATAACAAATAACAGTCGACATGCTTCAAGCGCCACAAAAATAGGCGCCCGTTTTCCCGACTTGCCAGGCATGAATGAGAAGAAACAAAAGTGATTTGAAATAAAAATTATTTACCTCCGTGTACTAATATTAACTTGCGAATACATAAATATTTCACATTTTAAACATTATATCAGTAGTTAGTTGAATTGAATGTAGGACTTAGTTGCATAAGATCTAAAGGAGGACGTACTGCGACAAACAATTCGTCAAAATAGATCAAAAGGTAAAGGGCATGCTACAATTTTGTTTTCATAAAATACATGAAGTTAAATGGTGCATAGTTACATTTATAAGTCGATAAAATCAAATAAAAGGGTGTTATTAAATAAAATGCACGAAATAGGAATCAATAGTAAACTTCAATCACTTATTTCAATCAATTATGTATTATAAACATTTACCTTTTTTTCAGGAAAAAAATAATGTAATCTGATCATTTATCCGAGTTTCCAGAAAGATTTGAAGATCGGAACAACCTTGCAATCAAGCCAGTAGTATTTTAAAAGAACGGTTAGTGTAAAAATCTATTTCTTGTCATACTTTTACTAAATATTTTATTTTATATTTTTATACCTATACGAATTAAACTGAATGCTGGCTTTAACTATTGGTTGATTAAAATTTATTGGCTCAAGAGCCAGATAAGGCATCAATCATTAGGTTAACAAAATGATTTTCTTTTAAACTAGGAGGCATTTCGGAATAATGGAACGTATAACCATTTCAAGAAATTCCGATTCATCTTAGTTCAAATGAACTGAGATAAACATGAACGTAATTCTGATGATATTATGGTTAATATATTCCTGGCAACAGAAACTCTTCCGCAAAGTTCTGCAGATTATTTTTTATCTCAGAATATTTTGAGAAAGAAATAAGGCTGAAAAACTGGGGCAAATTTATCCAGGCACGGCTATGTCAAATGGCAATATTTGTTTGATTTTTTGGAATTATTTTATTTATTAATGCAGATATAAAGCAGAACAAAAGAATTTACACTAAAAAATTAGTTTGACTTTTACAGTTTGTTTACGAAACAGGAGCTTTGGCACCAAAACTTTTAGTCACATTTTTTCTCCAACTCTTTCGATTCTTAAACTACGGATTGGAAAACGTCCTTCTATTTTATGCAATTAAACAATAAGAGTATTTTCTCGTCATAAATAAAAATTGGCAAAATCGAAAGCTTACAATTTTTTTGGGCTGGTCAATTTCTATTTAATTTGCCATATTGGGTTGATTAAATTAAATTTTCTTCTTTTTTGTATAACACCACCTTATCGTTTTTCTAAGAGCTATGTTTTCATAATTTACAGTCAGGCACACCACATGGTTGTCATTTCCTTTTACAACAGATATTTCTTTTGTGGATATTTTGTCCAATTCTTCTCAATTTTTTTTCTTATTTCCTTAGATTGTTTTATGGGACATGTTTGAAGTCAATTTTTCTAAATGTTGCCATGATTCTAAATTCTTTATCTCGCATAGTTTTAACGAAATTAAAAGAAATGAAGAAAAAAAATTCGACGTAACATTTTAGGTTTGTTACACATGTTTTACAAGTTTGTTAGGTTTGTTACACTAATACAACTCTTGTTCCCAAAAATAACTACTCACTATGACAGGTCATATTTTAGAAACAAAGAAAAATGTAGATTTTTAATTAGTTATTCAATTTAACAACGGATTAGGCATACTTTGTTCTGTATAGGCTAAAGCAAAAAACGACAAGTTTTAGCCGTTTTTGAAAGAAAAATACAGCGAAGCATTTTCGGAGGTGTAAAATGTTTAGAGTACATACTTGAAGAAGAAGAAGGAAAATTTAGAACTTTTTAAGATCTACAAAGAGCCAGACATAATTAAGTTGAGATAAGTTCAAATACTAAAATGGGCTGGACGCTTTATTAGAATGAAGGATGACAGAGCTCCCAAAAAGATCTTCGACCCAAAACCACCTGAAGCATGAAAAGGGAGACCAAAGATTCGGTGGGTCGACTGCCTAGAAACAAATTTAAAAGTTCTCAAAATTATAAACTGGAAGAGTCTATCAAAAAAGGGCATCTTGAAACTAGATTCTGAGGAAGGCCATGGCTCACCCAGGCCTGGCGTGCTATTGAAGAAGAAAGCAAGAACTATATTATGTTCATTTAAGTACTTTCATTTGTGCTTAATTCAAGCCATTTCTTGTTTTAGTTACTCAATAGTTAGATCTCTAAGAAGACCGACAACCTTAACCAGACGTGCAAGAAGATCATTCACTTTGCATTCGGGACTATCATGCTGATATCTGAATAATTCCATTGCAATCGTATTCGATGTCATTCGATTGCAATCGCATTCGATGTTGAAATGGAGAATAATTGATGAAAGAAATCGAATATACGTCACGCAAAGTTCCCATATTGGAAACAACAAACAAGGAGGTCGGTATCAACTACATATAATGAATTTTTTTAATCAGATTCGGTAAAGTATTGAAGACGAATTACTTATAAATATTTTCCACAATTCTAGCAAAAATATTTTCAGGGATCGTGTCAAAAAAAGGAGAGAATGGAAAATAGGTCAACTTTCTCTCATTATGACTATTCTCATAATAAATTTTGAAAACTTAATAAATATTTTTCATTCTTATAAAAATTAATTTAGGATAATCATAGTTCATATTTAGAAATACATTTATAAAATTTAAATTAATCGATGAAGGGAAAGCAGGGAGAAAATAAAGAATACTAGTTCTTCTTGCAGCGAGTGCTTTGCCGCCTAATGGGTTAAGGAAACAAATGAGAAAGAACAATTTAATTTTTTTCAGAAATTTTTTAATCATTCTAATTCCATCATTTGTTTCTAAATTCTAACAATTTGTTTATAGGCATTTCTTCTAAAAATTTTTTAACTTTTTTTACTCATTTCACGAAATTTTAATTAATGTATATAACGAATTTTTTTAAAGAATTTTTCAAAAAGAGTATCTGCCTGCGTCAGGGTTGCAGGCAATTTTGATCTCGTGAAAATAGAGCTGCAGATTCTGCTACCAGGAATATTTTACAAAAATAGTGCATTATAAATAGTGATAAATATGTTTTACATAAATAGTGCATTAAAGTGATACTTCTACATAGAATTTTATGCAATTTTTAATATTTAATTCTCTGTTCTGCCTTTTCTGAGTACAACTAAAAAGTAGCGTACTTAAAAAGTCAGCAAAAGTTAAAAAAACTATTTAACTCTATCGTCTTTGCAAATTCTTGATTAATTTAATTAGATCTTCATTACAAAGCTATAATAAATTCCACACTTGAACTATACCACACATAAAACTCAATGAAAATTAAAACAAAGACAAAGTAAAAATAAATTACTCACCAAAAGCTTATGACTTTAATATACAATTCAATGTTGCGATCTGGAGTATCACCAAATTAAATCAGTTATAAGCATTTCTTCAGCACGGTTTTAACCTCTTTGATATAACGAAGCATTATCAGATAGTTCCAATTTAGTTGGATTGATTTCTATATTTCTTCATTTCCCAGAAATTGGATAAATATTAGTTCAGACGCATTAAAAGAAAAAAGCAAACATTGACAAGATGTTGCAAATAATTTAAAATTTTAAATAAACTTAAATACTTTGTATCACATATGATATGTAAGCAGTTAAATTTATAGTAAAACATTCAGTTTACTCTAAATTCATTAAAAACTAACTTTTCTTTCTAGTGAGTTTTCTGATGTATAGTATTTATCATTTGTTGCTCCAAAATGAAACTATCTGAAATATAAAATTACTTTTAAATTTATGAATCGATTTCGTTTGAATCCATAAAACTGAATCAATAAAATGCAAAGATTAACAAAGTTTTCCGATAGTTTAAAAGCACGTAATCATCTAAGAAACTCTGACAAGATGTAAAATTCGCTTTAAACAAAAGCCAAGATGCATTATTAATGCATAATTTATTTCACGCCTTTGAGTTCTTTACAGCCATTTAATAGTAGGTCTACTTTGTCTGTAAAAAGGGGATAATATAAACCTGTATACCTACATAAACTATACTTATATTTAATGTATTTTTTCCTTAATGGTTTTCTAACTTTCATATAATTCACTTATTGATTGTTTTTATGTGTGGCAAAATGAAACAGTATTTAAAAATGAAAGATCTTGAAAAAATCATTTTAAATGTTAAGTATTTATTCCATAGCTGAAATTACAGTTCATTCATGTGAGTTTAAGTTGGTTTTGTTTCTAGTACAAGGGTCATATACTTGATTTATGAAAAAATATTTTTTTTCCCTGGCAGATAAATTTCCTACTAATTTTAACAAAATTACTTTTTGCATTTTTCCAGTTACTCGTAAATTAATTTCTTTTCTAAAAAATGCATTTTTGAAACTGTTTTGTTTTCTTCTTTGCAATTTTTTAAAAATAACTGAGTACATGAATAGTTCATTTCTTTAATATACTAAACCCAAACTGAAAACAAATTTGCACTCAGCTCCCTTGTAGACGTTTTGTCTATTTTCGGGAATTATTAATTAGTGGTTTCAAATACTACTGTGATAAAAAAAGTACTCAGAATGATGGTATGTGCCAAAAGGAAATGAACTATTAGTCAACATTTTATTTCATCTTCTTCAAAATTGTCTTTTTTTGACTTCAATAAACACCTGCCAATGTTTTTCCGAATCTCCATAACGTATCTTGAATTCGTGTTTATGCATGTGAAATTTGTAGATAATTTTTTTTATCAAATTAGTGGACTCAAAGCGAGAATCACGAAACAAAAATTTCTTCCTTGGGAATGAGAAAAAACTTAATGGGGCCATAACTGAAATAATGGTGCTTGTAGAGCAGTATTTACTGAATGCTTTGACAGAATTTGACGAATAATACTGCTGTGTAAGAATTTGCATTATCATGATGATAAACCCCCATGTTTTTTTTACTGCATTTCTGATCTTTTTCAACCGATTGCTTCAAGCAAGCATCCCAAAACACTTGAATAATTATTTCCATTGACTATCTGGTCAGTCGGCAGAATTCATTATGCAGATAATCAAAGAAAACAGTATACATTACCTTGATTTTTGAGAGAGTTTGAAATGGTCTTTTCGTTCTTGTTCTATCTTATAAGCGCCATAAACTTGCGTGTTGAGTTTTTCCTGATTTAAAAAGCATATATCCAAATTTCTGCACCAGTAATAAAATGTTTTAAAAGTAATAGTTAAATGAACGCGTAGTTGTTTTTATTCAATTTGTTTAAATTCAAAGTTCCTGTGTATAGCCATTTTTGGCTATTATGCTAATAAACCGCAACCAACTTATCAAAGTTCGTGTTACAACTTGTTGTTCTTTTGAAACTGCTTGACAGAAACCAAATGATGTCGGAACATGTTCCATAATGTCTCTATTGTGAAACGATGATCACGGAGCATCATTTTTTTGACTCCATGGAAATGTTGATTAATAATCGAAGTGAATGGTCTACCAGATTGCTGCTCATC